CAATGAGAAGTCCTCGTGACCCAAACAGCTAGCTTTGCCCTAGAAAACGAGAAGAGGGAGTGACTCCCTTGGGCAAGCACAGAACTGAGATCACCCTAATCACCATCTGAAGGCCCTTGTGAGTGGTTCCTGTTTTATTTGGGTGCCTGTGGTTCTGAGTCAAAACAGGAACAGCACGCCTAATTTGTAAGATTATCAAGGATGTCAAGGGATGCGGTTAGCTTGGATTAGAAGTCCTGGGCTCAGCACGCTCCCTTCCTCCTTGAAGGCATGTGGGGAGAAAGAGAACCTGGACACCTGGACACCTGGACTCCTGGACTCCTGGACACCTGGACTCCTGGACACCTGGACTCCTGGACACCTGGACACCTAGATTCCTGGACACCTGGATGGGACACGGATTACTGCAGCACAAAACTCTCCCCACCTCTCTGGTGTGCTACCTGGCGGTGGCTGTCTGCCAGCAGGATGTGCTCCAGACCCAACCACAAACCCCCACGCTGAGGGCTGCTGGGTACTGCTGACAGCCAGCAGCTAGGGAGGGGGCCCTCCGCTGCAGCAGGCACCGCTGTGCCCGCCTGGCCTGTGTGAACTGAGCCCATCTTCACACCCCAACAGGCCCCTTGACCGCGTGTCTCTATTTCACAGATGAGGACACTGAAGCCTGGAGATGTCAGGGAACCGGCCCGAGGTGGCAAAGCTAGGATGTGGCAGGACAGACCTTAAGTCTGGGAAACCAACCTCCGTTTCTCTCTCACCCAGAACAGCGGGCATCCTCCCCTTGCCTAGTGCTCCGCATATGGCGTCTGTACTGCACTTCGGAACCATTTGTGACATGAATAAAACCGAATGGTTGGGGTGATTCTGAAAAGGTTCACTGAAAAATCAATAACCATGAAATGCCTTTGCAGAGGGGTTGTGTCATTGGCAAGCAAATCGGGCATCTGTCCGTGCAGGCTTCCCTCCTCCCACGTCCCGTGTGCGCTGCTGATCTGGAGCCTGATGGGTCTTATCGGACTCACAGCTGTCCCCGGACCATCCATAATAACCAACACGAACACCCCCTCCTCCAACTGGAATCTTAGGTCCGGGTACGTTCAGGGCTAGACTCAGATGTCCTCCGATGTCTAGACAACACCCTCCAGCAAGAGGAGCTCTTCAGAGCCACGATGGGAGACGTGACTGTCAGCACAGATGTGGAAAGCAGACCCCATAGGGAGGCCCAGCCCCAACCCTCTGCCGGTCTAGCAGGCTGCTAAAGGGTGCAGCTCTTTATTCTGCAGACTAGGCTTGTCCAAGGATGGGCTGCCCAGGCCACGTCCATTCTTCAGAGGGCTGAGGTCACGGCGTCGGTTAAGTAGTAAGAAAATCACAAATGAGAAAAAGCAACCAAATTTTGAAAATGTGAATAAAAATGCCAATATGACTGCCAAAGGGCATGAGGGACCTTACTGGGAGTCACAGAAATGTCCCGTCTCTTGATCACGGTAGGGTTCCATCGCTGTATACGTCAGTCACAATTCAGCCAACCAGACAGTTTAAAAGGGTACGTTTTCTTTTATGTAAATTATACATCAATGAATCGTGACTTTAAGTCTCCATGATACGCTTTACTAAATTCAGGATTTCCGTGCAGAATTCCACGCAGAAAAAAAAAATCTCACTGGAACAATGATCAACTGTTCAAAACGACCAGGGACATTAGGGGACAAAATACAAGGAAGACTTTCTTTTCACTGTACCCATTTTGAAGCATTTGAATTTTTTTAAATGTGTTTACATTATCTGCTTAGATAGAGTGAGAGAAAAAGAAGAAAATAAAAAAGAAAGGAAGAGAGGGAGGAATGAAAACCCTCACAGATTTCTTCGTTCATACATAGCCCATGAGAAATGCTACCTATGCCGCCCATTCATCGTGTGGTTTTGGGCAGCGGGGACGGTCTCCGAGCTAGGTTTTGCCATCCGTGGGATGCGGACTCCACCAGTGCCTACTTCCGAGGGCTCTGAGATGAGACAAGGCCATGCATGGAAAGGTCTGAGCACGACTCCTCTCTGAGTGCGGGCTGACCTTCATCACAGCACTGACCATAGATCTCCCTTTAGCAAGAAAATCTGCGGCTCAACTCTTTTTCCTTTACGTGTTTAAGAAACCAGATGATGTAAGTAATTATCCTCCACTGTGTTTGCAGAGCAGAGTGCTCTACTAATGAAAATTACAGTGTAAGACATACCGGAGACTTTGCGCTCACCATCGGGTTTGGCTCGGACTGGAGAAGGGGGCTTCATGAGTTTTCATTCTTGAGTATAAAAAAGAGGAGAAATGGGTCCTAAAAGGTTGCTGGTTTAGATAGGGTGCGGGGGGAACATCCCACTGTGGAGGTGAGATGCTTTATGAAAAGCGAACACGCCCAGGAACATTTTAGAAGACTAAATGCAAACAACCCTGGAACATGTTAAAAGACTCCGAAATCATCCAGACATCTGAGTCATCCACTGTGCTGGATTCCTTGAGCTGTACAGTGAGAAACTGCCTTTAGGGTGATTATCTCACATCATAAAGAAAGAAAGAGTCTGATCATGAATCAGAGGGAAAATGTATGAATGTGGGCCCGTGATTATCACTTGAGTTGAAACACACTGAAAACTGAAGTCATGAATATCTTAAAAGCTGGTATCACACATATATCCCAACATGCACGTTCTTTATCAAATGTTGTCTTTGGGGGATTAGATAACTCTTCCACTGTGGGCAGGCCCGTATGCTAAAGGAGGAAAACATGTTCACGGGTGATAGTAAACATGTCTGAATGTTCTACTATTAAAGACGAATTCTTTTAGCTCAGCCTGGACCTTCGTTTAAAAAGCGAGCTCCTTAGAGAAAGTTGACATGCTAAGCCAGGATATCAGTTGTTATCACGCTTTCGTGTGATTAGATCTAGTTTCATCTTCCCTCCGAACTCAAATGATGTAAGGGAAATGAGAAAAATGGTGTGTTTCTAGAATGCGAAAATGGGAGGGAGGAGTGAATTTGGAAGGGTTGCACTGACAAGATGTCCATGTCTGCCTTTGTGTGGTGAGAAGCTGGCGCAAGTGGGAAGCTGGACAGGAAGAGGGGACACGTGGCAGGAAGGTCAAGGACACAGAGGGAAGGAGGCAGGGCTGCCTCCTTGGGACACATGCAGGGAGTGTGCAGCCACAGACCCATTCCAAAAGGAAGTTTTATGGAATCGGAACTATTTTGGGTTAGGATAACCATTTCCCACTCTGAAGTTACATTCCTAAAACCAAGAGAATGTCATCTTCACCCTCAGACTGGCAAAATGAAAAGGCTTATCATCTCCAGTGTTGGAGAAGGTACATGGAAATCCATATGCTCAGACATCTTTTTTGGAAGAACAATTGAGTCGTGGTTACTCTATTTATAATGTTCATAACTTTGATCCAGAAACTTCACTTCTAGAAATCTATCTTGCAGAAATATTAATAGCACACATGTGCAAGACATTCTTACAATGATATTCAACGTACATTAAGTGAAAAACTGGAGACACCTAAATAATCCCAATGGAAATGATTCAGTCAGTCAAAGAAGATAATCCATATTATGGAATTCTAGGCAGCTAAAAGGTGTGTAGTACATCTGTCTGTATTATCTTATTTAGAAGGAGAAAAGTGGTTAGCTAAAAAAATGTTGCCCAATAACACTGATAGTCTGATCACCTATTTAGACTGAGAGATGGATGAGTGGATGGGATGGATAGATGGGTGGACAGAAGAACAGATGCTTGGATGGCTAGACAGATGGACAGATGCATGGATGGAGGAAGGCAGGGAAGGGAGGAGGGAATAAAGAAAGAGAAGGGAAGAGGGGATTATATGAATGAATGAATGAGACATGTGTACACCCCACAAACTCTTAGCATTGATTATCTGTTGGGTTGGGAGTGAGGGGATGAGGTTAATGTACTTCTGATTTTAAAATTTTGCATATTGTTGGATTGTTTGAATTTCTGATAAGGAACATAGACTGCTTTTGTAATTAAAAGTCATTAAAAAGTTATTTTATTAATTAATTAATTAATTAATATATTGATCCTCACTCGAGGACACTTTTCCATTGATTTTTAGATAGAGTGGGAGAGACAGGGAGAAACAGAGAGAGAGAGAAATATCGATGTGAGAGAGACACACCATTGGTTGCCTCCCACACGATCTGCCTGGAGCCCGCGATCAGATCTGCAACTGAGGTACGTGCTGTTGGCCTGAAATCAAACCCACGATTGTTTGGTCCACAGGCCAACACTCTAACCATTAAGCCAAAATAGCCAGGGCTGATTTTTTAAATTGAGGGAATAGAATATGTCCTTCTTTCAAGCTTCGTGAATGCTGAACTTAAAAGATCAAGGCTAGTATCTGTCTTAGTCTTCCCGTCTCCACGGGTAAACCTTGCCTTATTATTTTCCCTCTGCATTTCAGCTCTTCTCTCAAATGAGACCAATGATAACTGCCCTTCAGATAAATCCTAGGACTGTGTACACAAAACCGTGTGAGTTCATTCAAAGCAAGTCCCCTCCTGTATTAAACAGCCTCCTCCAGTCTAGACCAGTGGTTCTCAGATTTTACCTGGATCGAATCCTTGGAAGGTTTGTTCAAACCCAGATCGCTGGGCTCAGCACCCAGAGTTTCAGACTCAGTGGATGTGGGGCAGGGTCCCAGAATCTGCTTGTCTAACAAATTTTCAGGTGACGCTGAGCTTTGAGAACCACTGCTCTAAGGGAAGGAAACTATTCATCAAAGACAAATAATAATGTGGGCCCTATGAGTCAGATTTGAGAAGGACCAGAACGGACCCTGTAGTCCATAAGCACCTCTTTCCACAACAAGCTCCCTCTCCATCATCAGCCACGGGCGGAGAAACTACTCTGAGACTGCAGACCAGGGACACCAGAAATGAGCCCCGAGGGAGCCAGGCTCCAGACCACCCAGGGAAGAGGACTCACCTTCTGAGAAGATGATGTGGTCATTGCACTCATCACTGCTACAGGAGCACATGAAGAACGTCTCCCCGTCCACTTTTTTCTCCTTCATGATACACTTTGGAGAAGCAGCATCTTCAAGAAGAAATCCATGGTAGACGACCGTGGGGTCATGGCAGACTGTCTCTAGTGTTATGTTCTCATCATTCTTCCGCCTTGGGTGCAGAGGTCATGGTGGGGCGGGGGGGAGGAGGGGGAGCCAGAGAAAAAGAACAGATGAGTATGGTCTCTGGACAGACAAGCAAGCTGGAAGGCATTTCCTTCCTCAAGCCCTCCCTCCTAAGGGCGGCTGGATCCTGTTCTGCAGCATTAACAGGCCGTGCTCGCGTCCCCTGTGCCTTTTCTAGTCCTGTCAGTGTTTCCTCGGCTTATTCTCAGAGCCCCGTTGTGATGGCCAACACGAGGGCTTCCCTCGGTGGGCCGTCCTGTCAGAGAATATCACACCTTGTCTTAATTCAGTCCTGCAACGGAGGGCATGGAAAACAGAGGATCTGTGGTTTATCTCTTCCCTCCCTCCACAGTCCCCTCTTCTAGGGATGGTCAGTCTGTACCCTACTTCCACGTCTCTGGGTCACCCCTATTCCTCAGACTGTTATGTTCATTATTTTCCATGGAAAAAAGGAGAAACATCTGTAACAAAAATAAATTAATAATAAAAAAAAAAAAGAGCGAGCCCTGGCCAATTTGGCTCAGTGGTTGGAGTTTCGGCCTGTGGACCAGAGAGGCCCGGGTTCGGTTCCTGCTAGGTGCATGTACCAAAAAAAAAGAAAAAAGAAAGAAAGAAAAGAAAACAGAAGATGGCTGAGTCCCTGGGGTGATCGGAACCTCCTGTCCGAACAGCCCCCAGATTGTTTGGCAGAGCCAGGGTCCTATCTAGCTAACTTGTTCTTTTTTTAAAAATATGTTTTTATTGATTTTTAGAGAGAAAGGAAGGGAGAGAGAGAGAAACATCAATATGAGAGACACATCAATTGGTTGCCTCTTGCACACCCCCAATGGGGATCGAGCCTGCAACCCGGGCATGTGCCCTGACCAGGAATCGAACCAGTGACTTCTTGGTCCATGGGTCAATGCTCAACCACGGAGCCACACCGGCTGGGCAAGCTAACTTGTTGTGGAAGAGCATGCCTGGGAAAGCAGTTGTGGTTCCTCTTTCTTTGTTTGCTGGGCCCCGGGCACTGTGAGCGAAGGCAGAGTCCTTCCCTGCGAGCAGCTGGCCTGCTGAGAAGAGGAAGAAACTTCCTCCGTACAGAATTGCAGTTTCCAGAATTACAGGAGGAACAGAAGAAGGGGAATTCAAACACGTGGGACAGACCTGCAAGGTGTTCGGTGAAATACTCTTTGCTGTTAAACTAATGACGTCCACATTTTGCAAGCCTTCATATCAGATACCTGGAGCCTACCTCAGCTCAGGGCTCAGCGAATCCCTCACATTTGACTTGGGCCCTGAGAAATACTCAACTGGCTCTTCGTGCACATTGCATCTAAAAATGACATGACTAATACCCACGATTATAATTGCAGAAGGCAAAATAAGCCTCTGGCATCCTTGGAAAGTACGCTGCTTCTCTGCCTGTTTCCCTCTGCGCCCCCCCCCCCCAAACCTGCCATCTTGGATGTCTGTGTCCAATGCCAAGGTTGGTCTACATCCTTCCTCCCATTTCTGCCCTTTTCAGATGCAAAATAGCTATTGTCTGCAATGGTAACCTCTACCTCTGAAGGGGAACTCACTCCTTAAATGACGTGACAGGTCAGTCAGTTTTGCACGTGTCTTCCCTGAGAAGGATTCTGAGTGCGTGCATATGAGTACATGTGTGCCAACGCACACTAGTGCACACTCACTAGTCAGCACCCCTCTTCCCCCAAACACACACAAGCCCACAGCAAGGAAGATGGCAGGCAGGCTGGAACCAAGAAGCAGCTAAGATACAACCTTCACCTGGGAAAGAGGGGGCCGTACCCACAAGGAAAGAGTGACTTGAACAATCCCCCCGCTTAGTGCTGAATTCAAGGACACCAGGGGACAGTGTGTCAACAACGGGATAAGAAGAGCCAGAATGAGGGTGAGGCTGGAACAGCCCGAGCAGGAATGGGGTCATGTCGGTGGCACCCATGCTGCCCACGGGTGACTCCAGCAGGAACAGCTGTGCCACTCTGTGAAACACACCAGCGGTTCTCGAACTAACGCTCCAGTAGGCGCGAGAAGCCAGGCCTTGCTACCCAGGTCCCTGACGCTAGAGGAAGAGCAACAGTCGGAATCCTGATTTTCAGGGTGGTTGCAGGAAACCCAGTGAAACTTCCCTTGGCACGATCACACAACACATGATGATAATTTAAAAATCTACCCTTGCCTGGCCGGTGTGGCTCAGTGGTTGAGCGTCGACCCATGCACTAAGAGGTCGCGGGTTCGATTCCCGGTCAGGGCTCATGCCCAGGTGGTGGCCCCATCCCCAGTGGGGGGCGTGCAGGAGTTGTCCAATCGATGTTCTGTCTCATCAATGTTTCTATCTCTCTCTCCCTCTCCCTTCCTCTGGGTCTCTAATATATCAATAAAGAAAAAAAATTTTTAAAATAAATAAATAAAAATCTACTCTTAACCCCAAAGCTACTGGAAAGTTTTAGCAGAAACCATGGCCTTGAAACAAGAGCACCTCTCTGCCCCCAAAGCGGGGTGTGTGTGTGTGTGTGTGTTGTACATACATGTGCACATGCAGCTAGATGTATAGGAAGGCATATTGAGTCACTGCAATGACCAGGCATCTCTTTCAGAGCCTTTTTCTTTCCACTTCCTAGCTGCCCAAAGCACTAAAATTGCAGAGAGGGCCAGGCTGGCGTGGCTCAGTGGATTGAGCATAGGCCCAGGGACTGAGAGCTCCTGGTTCAATTCCCGGTCAGGGCACATGCCTGGGTTGCGGGCTCCATCCCTATTAGGGGGTGTGCAGGAGGCGGCCGATCGATGTTTCTCTCTCACATCGATGTTTCGCTCTCTCTCCCTTCCTCCCTCTCTATAAAATTAATAAAGCTGTATTTAAAATCACAGAGAGAGAGAACTCAACTAAAACACTGGAGTAAAGTCCTTAACTGCTTTCTCCACTCAGTCCTGTGACAGTGTTCTCCCTGACAGCACAGCTCACTTTGCAAAATATCTCTGGATACAACTGAGCAAGAGAAGACACAATGAAAACATATATAGACCTTTGTCCTGCAATGTTTGCTCTGAGCAACTGAAGTCTGTCAATAGCCACTGGAGAAAAAAACCACGGTCATGAAATTAATGCTGGTGCCAAAATATTTCTATGCTTGTAAAGAACTTGACCATGTCCCACGAAACGGGTGCACAGTTGACATGAGTTGAATGAATGAATGAATCGATGAATGAAGGGAACACTGCCGTGATGACGGCCTTGGAATGCATGCACCGCCACGGTAGAGGCTTTCATTGTCCACACGTTGCTGTTTCTAAAATAACCTCCTTTCCTGCTTTGGGTTCCCTGGAAACAGACACTGAGGCTATGAGGTTTCTGTGCAGGAGGCGTGTGGACAGAAAGCTGTAAGAGGCGGAAGGGAGCGGTACTGCACGTTGGAGGATGTGAACCACAACGCAGGTTGCAAAGAAAAGACTCGGCTGGTCCCTCAGAAGTTGTGAAGCTGGGATGGCCCCTCAGAACTGTCCCCCATTGAGGCAGAGTGGCCAGGCATTGGGACCCTGCATCAATCAGTTCTAGGATGCTGACTGCTCAAATTTGAGGAAAGGCCAAGTTCAAATGCAGCAGATCTGCTCAGTGCAAGGGGGTTCCTGGGAGGGACTGGGGGTGATCCCTTAGCAGCCAGTGCTCCCGAGGCCAAGGGGGTGAGCACCTCAGTGCTGAAGGGGGTCAGGGGGTGTAGCACAGCACCCCCTGCAAGCCTCTTTCTCCTCATCACACTCCCACTCCACGGGTGTATCTGACTTTCCCAAGACAGGTGAAAACAAGGTTCGCTGTACAGTATTTAGCCTTCCTAGCTGGGACACGGTGGAGACAGGGAGCTTCCTCTCCCCTACACGCTCACACTTTCCGAGACAAGCGAAGCCTCTATTCCGGTGACTTGATTCACAATCAATCATTCAGACTTGCACTGTGAGTCAGGGAAAAATATCTTAATTAAGAAAGCCTTTTCTTTGTTTTTTCCATTAGCAGAAGTAAGCTCCCGCTGCCGTGGATAGTTAAGTGCAGATGATCAGGGGAGAAGACCTGTGAGAAGGGAGCCTCGGGGTCACCCGGGCAGGTGTCTCAATCTTCCCTGCCCCAGACTCGCCAGTCATCCAGCCTCTCCTGAGCTCTGTCTGACTCTGCCAGGGGAGGAAGTCTGTTCTGCTGTTAGAAAACCACAATTGTGAAAACATGTAAACGCGTCCTGAGCACACGTCTGGCCCCTTGTAAACCGGAGAGACCCTCCTTCTGCCCTTCAGAGTTACAAAGAAAACGTTCCTTGTATTTGCTACTTGAGGTATCTCAAGGACACGCACGTCCTTCCTTCCCTGCAGCCAGGTCTAACTGTCCCGGCCGTTCTGCAGGTGGCACGCTTCCTGAGCCTCTGGTCGCCTGGTCCCTCTCCAAACGCCTCTGTCGGAATTCCGTCCCCAAGGCCTTTCTCGGAACCGGGCCTGAACGGAGCAGGCGCAGCCGTCACGCAGGTCTGCGCTGCTCACCCTCCTTCAGCTCCTACGACACGAGCTCAGCCCCCGGTATGAACAGAAATTTGCAGCGTCTTAAAATCTATCATTAAAGCTAACTCTATGTGGTTTGGAGAAAGTCCAAAAGACTCGTTCCCCAAAGTGGGGAGGATGTTTGGGTTTACCTTCTCATTTGCAACTGGCCAGGAGACAACACGTAGGTTACTTAAAAAAAAAAAAGAATTCGATTTCAAATAAGTTACATTCGAAATGTCAGAATATGTCTACAACATGTTGTGTTTCGTTAACGAATTTATTCGTCTTTATAGAACGGGGTCTCTTTGGGTGATCTCTATTTTCCTTTATCTTTCGCTCACACTCCCAATTTATAACTAGGAATTAATCAGATAAGTTATGAGCACCCACTGTGTGTATGTGTGTGTGTGTGTGTGTGCTGTGGTGAGGTGAGGGGGTGGGAGAGAGACCAGAGGGAACCTGACCCAAGAGAAGGAGGTGGCCTGTCGCTGCTGCCCAGCAGGGCATGAGGGGCGTGGCCCAGCGGGGGGGGGGGGGTGAGGGGCGTGGCCAGGCCTCTGACTAAGGAACAGGTTGTTTTCTGGTCCAGAAGAGCTTCCCCTTTTCTGACAAGTGCTTTCCTCTCCCCACAGCCCACCGTGCGTCACCTCTTTCCCAACACGAGACTGAGATTGCCCAGGGGACCGCTCCTGGTGTCACTGGGGGTGCGGGGAGTGTCATAGACGACTAGTGTCATGTGCTTCTCCGTACAAAGCAGGCTCTCCAAATTTCTTGCAAACAGTAAAGGTCATCTTATACACTGTCACACACAGATCCGTGTGTGTGTATTTGAAAATGTACAGAGTACCTCTGGAAATCACGTGTAATAATTAGAAGAGAGATGGTCTAAGAGAAAGGGAAATGAGATGGTGTCGACACTTAGGGTGTGAAGATACAGGGACTCTACCACAAGCAAACATTGCTTGCTATGAAAAGGGGAAAAGAAGATTTTTTTTATTGTTAAAAGTATTACAGATGTCCCCCTTTTTCCCCCATTGACCCCCTCCTTCTGCTCCCCCTGTCCTCCTGCCTTCCCCAGCCCAGTGTCTGTGTCGATTGGTTGTGCATATATGCATATAAGTTCTTTGGTTTATCCCCCCCCCCATCCCTCTGAGGTTTGTCAGTCTGTTCCCTACTCCCATGACTCTGGATCTCTTTGGTCAACAGCTTATTTAGTTTATTATGTTCCACAAATACAAAGTGAGATCATGTGGTACTTGTCTTTCTCTGACTGGCTTATTTTACTCAACATAATACTCTGCAGGTCTCTCCAAGTCATCTCAAAGGGTAAGAGATCTCTTTCTTACAGCTGCATAGTATTCCATAGTGTAAATGCACCACAGCGTCTTTATCTACTTATCTGCTGACGGGCACTTGGGCTAGCTATATGCAAGAAAGAAGAAAGGAAGGAAGGAAGGAAGGAAGGAAGGAAGGGAGGGAGGGAGGGAGGGAGGGAGGGAGGGAGGGAGGGAGGGAAGGAAGGAAAGAAAGAAAGAAAGAAAAGGAAAATAGACCACCAACTTACACCACGCACAAGACTACACTCAAATGGACACAAGAAAGATGTTTTCCAAGGCAGCCTTACCAGACAGCCACACAGACTTCGTGGGGCTTCTCGCAGATGGACGTGATGCTGCAGTTGCTCACGCAGGATTTCTGGTTGTCACAGGTGGAAGACCTCACGTCACAGAATTTACACAGTTGTGAGAACTTGAGTGCACCGTTGTTGTCGGTGATCACCACGTCATTACTAACTGTGGAGGGAAAAGAAAGAGACCCTGCATGATTATCTAACCGCGAGGCCGCCTGCCAATGAACTCCTGACCATGGTAGGCGATTTTAAAGGAACCTGATGTCAGAAGAATGAATACAAAGAAAGGCGAAATAACGCCTTCACATCAGATGAGAATTCCCTGCTCCTCCGCACTCCGTAAGGAAAGCCACTGCAGGGTGGGGGTAAGCCTGTGATTCCATAGGGCACTCTCTGCACACAAACCTTAGCACTCAATCAAGAAACCCAGCTTGGATTGGCCCCTGCATTGTGCTGGGTGCTGGGAGCACAATGAAAACACAGCCATAGGGAAATTATAGTTTAGCTGGGTGGACAGTCAAGGAAGCAGATGAGGGTAGGGGAACCCAAAAGAGAGAGAAAGACAGAGGATGTGGAAGCCAGACAAGAGTCACCACCCAGGTGGGCAGAGAGGTCACGGGGGGCAGAGCTGTGAAGGCAGAAGGGAGTCCGCTGCTCAGAGGAGACATGGTGGCTCAGGCAGGACGTAGCCATCTCGTTCCCGACCTGCGCCCGAAAGAGCTAGGGGGCCTTCTGGCAAGGGACCGGCTCCGACCTCCCTGTGTTGTGTTGAGGGGAAAGAGTTGATTAACCAACATGGACCGAGTGGATCCCAAAGACCGTGGAGGCCCTGGAGTCCTGCGGCGAGCAACGGCCAAGGTCTGCCTCCTGCTCCTCTGACTGCAGCGCTCACCGCCCCACCCCCACCACCGGCCCTCTTACTCCTTCCCCACTAGCTTCCCGGAGGACAAGTTCCTTCCCTTCTCAGGCCTTTCCCTTGCTCTTCCCTTGGTCTGGCTTCTCGTCACCTTTCGGGTCTCTGGTTCAATGAGAACTCTTCATCCTAAAGTAACTATGACCAGGCTCTGTTTTATCTTCTGCACAATCCAACTGGATCATGTCCTTGCCTATAATCTAGCCGCCAAAATGCAAGCTCTGTGAAGGCTTTATCTTCATGTGCCAAGAGACCATCCCATGGAAGAAGTCCAAAAATACTCATTGAATAAATGAGTGAAGAGACGAATACATAAAGAACGAACAAAAGAAGTTGGCCATCGGTCCTTTGTACCAAGTGGAAGAGAATAAAGAATGTCCTCTCCCACACTCGGGGTGAGGGGAGGGCGATTATAAATGCGATATTCCCTCGATCATATATTCAGGACAGATTGTTCTCTGCAACTCAACATATTGCATGCTGAGAGGCAATAAAAAAAGTTTAGCACCCCCCGTCCCCATCATTTTCCTCAAAGAGGTCCATTTTTGCTGGCAATGAAGGTAACTAAAAGGATGCATTTGGAGAGTCAAGGGAGACAAGGCTAGAAGGCATTTTGGTCAACAAACCTGAACTGCAGGTTTGGAAGGTGTGTGTCTCCCAGGGACGGCACTTGGAAAGCCTCCCCCTCTCCTCCCGCTGTTAAGTGTGCTCCTGCCCAAGGCCAGGCCGGAGAAACAGCCTCAGTGCCCTCGGGTCCATGCCTGCCCCTGAATTCCAGATCCCTGTCACCCACACCGTGTTCCGCAACCCGCCTTGTCACTCGGACAGAGCACCTGTTTCCTGGGTCTCTAAAAATGTAAACATGTATAAATTCGAGATTTGCTTTCTTGTGGTAACATTAAATATAGAAGAAAAAAAATAAACCCATTCATCCCGCCCAGGCCTCAAGCTCATTTCAGGAAGTGTATTTTTAGGTGACAAACTATTTTGAAATTCTCAGTCTCCCAGGGCTAGAGCTCTGTGGTGCTTCGCTAAAAATACAGGGCTAAGTGCTCGCTGAACCTTGGTTAAATTTGGGACTAAAGCAACAATGAATATATGTATTTTTCCTGCAATGGCTAGATTTGGATCCATTTGTGAAACAATTGATTTAACCCATTAGGTTTCCCTACAAGGCATGGCAAAGCGAAAACATGCTCGGCCAGGTTCTGTTGATTTGATTTGATGTTTAATGGAGTATGTTTAAGACAAACATCTATTGACTGGTGAGGAGGGCTTCATTGTTTTTAAATATAAAATCAAGCCCCCGTGACTTGGAACTCAGCCTCCCAGCACGTTAGGGTTTTAGCCAGGATCAGTGGCTATCCCTTTCGGGGCACGGTGGCATCCATCACCTAGGGAACCTTAAAAAATAATGAAGTGGTCCCATTCCAGATACGCTGATTGAATTATGCTGGAGGCTCACCTGGGCATCAGGAATTTTCAAAGCTGCCCAGGTGATTCTCATGTGCCACCAAGGGTGAGACCCCTGACCTAGGATTAGGGTCCACATGACTGGCACAAAACGAAGCAGAGGAAATAACCGTCCCCCTCTCCAAACACATGGACGAGGTGGGTGACAGTGAGGGGCGAGCCCTCACTGACGCGGGCGATTTCCCCGTGGAAAGTGTGCGCCCACAGCTATGAGATTAGCTGTTCACCAACCGGGAAGTGCCTCGTGTGGGCGTGGCCAGTCCCTACCTAACAAAAGCCAGAAGTGTGAGGAAAGGGACAGGAGTCAGGAGTGACGAGTGAGGACAGATGAGACGTGCTGGAGCAGCAGTGGCAGCCACAGGTGTGGTGACAAGTGTAAGGGGTTGAATTTGACGCCTGCAAAACACAACCAACAGCGAAGAGACCAAACAGGGAAAAAAAGGGGAAAGAGAAAGAAGGATATAGAAGGGTCACCAGGTTGCTCTGCTCGGGGCACCGTTCACATGCAGTCTGTGCCACCAGGGCCCGGGGGCTGGGCGGGTGTGCAGTTCATGGTGCCTGGAGCTGAGGCCCCGAAAGGGAAGAACTCTCCACTGAATTCTGGGAAGACGGCAAACAGCCAACTTGACTCTAAACTGGGAGGCCAGGCACATAGAAGCAGGGGAAGGTGGACGTTGGGAACTTACATTAAGCACCTACTGTGTGTTAGGTAAAGTGCGTAAATGATCACATATCACCCGGTGAGTAGCAAGGAGGCCTCATTTTTTTTCTTCATTACCATAAAAGTTACCTCTGCTAAGGTGAGCAGACTTTTTCTCTTGATCAGCTTTGTTTTCATTTAAAAGCCTTTATGCAGGGTCCGTTCATCACAATTTCCTCTCCTTCCCAGCCAGCCACTCGCTGCCAGTGGACCTCGGGAGGCTCCCCACCCTGCAGTCCCAGCCAGTCGGTAAATGGCCAGCCCCCGTGTCAAACCGGCATTGTCCTTCGTGAATAACTGTGTTTCTGAGATGGAGTTAAGGCAAAGCTACTCTTACCCTTCATTGGGGTGACCTCGTTTTGATTAAAGCTTTATGAACTCACTCTGGAGCGAGGGGACGGAAAGACACGCGTACGGACTTTTGCTCGCTATTTCAGAGGGTTGGTTCACAGATTCCCTGAAGGTCCATGAGCCCCGGCTGAAGAATCCTAGAGTCCTCAAGGGCGAGTCACCGGTACATGCGAAGCAGTACACTCAAGAGGGGAGTGAGGGCCGGCGGGCGCAGGGGCGGTGGACTGCTTCTGCGCGTTCCTACCCACAGGGAAAGACGTTACTGTCATGACCTCACCTACCAATCGTCCTTCTGTTTAATGCATAATGTCTGTGAGGCCAACGGAATGTGTACACGCATAAAGTAAATACATAGGGTTGGCCCTGTATATCCACGGGTTCTGCATCTGTGGATTCAACCAACGTTGGATGGCAAACGTTTGAAAAGAAACTTTTTTTAGGTCATGTTGTTGCTGATGTGTATGTAGTTGGGCCTACGATGGTTGCATCTGTACTGAACATGCACAGACTTATTTTTTTTGGTATTATTCCCTATATAATGTAGTATAACTATTTATACAGCATTTATGTTGTTAGGTATTATACGTAATCTAGAGATGATTTAAAGTATATGGGAGGATGTGTGTAATTATACAGACGAGCATCCACAGATTTTGGTCCCCCACCCCCAGGATACCAAGGACAACTGCACATGTAAATAACCAGGGACAGAGCTATTACTCTAAACAACATCACAGAAGCCACCTAATTAACCCTATTTCAAACTCTAACCAATGTCAAAATTACTTCCAGTTCAGGTTGTTCAATTGCTCTCCTAAGTCTCTCTAGTTAAGATGCCCTCATATGAAGGCAATGAATTTTAATGTCCGTAGACCCTCGGGGAGCAGCTGACCATCCTAGACAATGTTCTACCCATCCCAGGCAAATTAGCTCCTCAGAGTGCTCCCCCCCAAAAGGTTCCAATAAGAATATCTGCCCCCTAGAAAGTCATTCAGTGAAGGAAATGAACCTAGGCAGCTACTTCCAGCATATGATGGTATCACATGGCCCATCGTATTTCACTTCTCTTTAAACAAACCCATGAGTAATATATCCAGACCTTCAGTCTAGGTCATACTGTCTTCCTCATTGTGGGGCATATTTTCCCCAAACTCACTGCCGAGGGACAGAGTTTGCGGTTCTTGAGAATATGAATTAAGCAAATGCTTAGCTGCATCTATTTCTGAAACGATCCTGTTATCTCTGAAGGTCAGAGACGAGCAGCCTAATAAGGGTTAGATATATTCCTGATACATATTAGAAATTTTGGCTAGGAAGTCTGAGTCCGTGTCTTTGGAATGGCATCTACTTTCAGCTGAACAATTATGCAAAATCTCAAGATTCCAAAAATAACCCCAAACACTCTGCCAGAAATGCATGCATGTATCTTTGAATTCATGCGTCTACCTACTGTTGTTCTGTAGCCTGTTTTGGGGGGCACTTAAGAAGTCACTTATTTCGCAAATACCTCCGGATGTCTTGCTTAGTGCCATATATTTCACAGCTAAGTCACTAAAATTGATGCAATTAAGTGCAGCATGTCATAGAATAATCCATGGCAACTGGTGAATGGAACTCACTATGCCTGGGAGCCATGCTGCTCACTTGTTAATAAGCACAGGAACCCCTTGGGAACAGGTTTAACCATTAGCTGTGGGGTAAGTGCAACTGTGGAGCTGGCGAGTCT